TTAAAATTTGAATTAAATGACTAAGTAGTATTGATTAACATACGAAGTTATCTTTTAAAAAATAAAATCATAATAGTTATTTGAATTGTTTGATAAAAGGAAATAGTTATTTGAATTAAAACATAGCTCTTTTAACTTATTTTCAAAATTTCTTACCAACATTTATTTAAAATATAACTATTCTTTGAAATTTAAAATTTTATTTGTAGTTTAATTACTATAGAAGAGTATTTTAAGTCTCTACATAAATTTTTGAATATTTTTGATAAAAAATCCTATTAAAATTTTTGGCTTTTCTTGTTACTTCTCGAATTTGATTGGAAATACTTTTGTTCTATAATTTTCTGCAAGAGGATAAATGTCTAAAGATCATAGATACTAAAAATTCTTTACAAATGAAGTAATTTAAAAAAAACAAAGAGTAATTCAATGTTCATTTTCATTCGGTTCATTTTTTATGGTTACCATTTAGAACCTAATTCTTATCATGAGCAATGCATTAGCTTCCTTATTTAATAGAATATTAATTTATTCACATAATTTCTTGTAAAAAATACCAACATAGTCAAAGAAACCTCCAACTTTCCAAAATACTTACTTCTGATTACTAGCGTATTATATGATCTATTGACACGAATTAAAAAAATGTTATTTGTTTTTATTTTCGGTAAAGCATCTATATAGATTAAAAGGAATTATTATTTTTTTCTTTTGAAAGGGCAACTCATAGATCTCTAAGTTCCTTGGATGTAAACGTCAAATCAAATGCATTACAGGCATCTCTGCTCTAAAATCCTATAAATACATGTTCTTCTCACTTTATGCTTCATTAAATCAACACTTACATATCCCCCAAAGCAGAACTAAAGAAAGCCCAAGCTTGTCTCTCCCCACACCAACACAAAACATTCTTCCTGGTTTGAAATTCTTTCGTGCATTCTTTGTTCTTCTCTGAACAATTATACATCAACCAACCTATCAAGATGGCCCGGATATCGTCTGACCCGCTTATGGTTGGGAGAGTGATTGGAGATGTTGTGGACAATTGTTTGCAGGCAGTGAAAATGACAGTGACGTATAACTCCGACAAGCAAGTCTACAATGGCCATGAACTTTTTCCTTCTGCAGTTACAAACAAACCTAAGGTTGAGGTCCATGGGGGTGACATGAGATCATTCTTCACTTTGGTACGCATTTTTTATTAAATAATAGTTTATGGCAGATATATGTGTTATGTGTTTTTAAATATGTTTATAGGATGTTTCACGTGTAGATATATTCATGTATATCGAATTTTTGAAACAGGTCATGACTGATCCTGATGTCCCTGGACCCAGTGATCCTTATCTAAAGGAGCACTTGCACTGGTAAAAATTTGTTATTTACAATTTTGTTAATTAAGAGATATGATTTTATACACAAAATGTAACATTAATTGCAATGACCAATCTTAGGATTGTTACCGATATTCCAGGGACAACCGACGTGACATTCGGTAAGTCATATACTCTTTGCATATAACATTGAAACAAATGACATAATATCCCAGGGCACATTTCGCATGCGCAAGTTGTAGACGACAACAATAATATCATACATGGCAAATTCCTTCTAATTAATATCAAAATAAATGATCAGATTTGTAATATATATTGGTATGCATTATTATCATCGGCGTGTCATAATTTGGGTTCAAACATGGAAATTGTGCAACGATAAAAGAATAGTTTCGTATATATGTAACTAATATTATTATGAAAATTCAAAACAGGAAAGGAAATAGTAGGGTACGAAATGCCTCGGCCAAACATAGGGATCCACCGATTCGTGTATTTGCTGTTCAAACAGAACCGAAGAGGAAGTGTGGTTTCTGTTCCGTCTTACCGAGACCAATTCAACACTCGAATATTTGCACATGAGAACGATCTCGGCCTTCCTGTCGCAGCTGTTTTCTTCAACTGCCAGCGTGAAACCGCGGCCAGACGCCGCTAACATGCTTCTGTCTGCCACTGTAACTAACTTCTCTGGTGCCCAGAAAATATATGTTGTTCCATGCATTCTATATTTTAGTTACAGAAAAAACTTTGTCTATCATATTTATATGTG